ACTTCGGTGAGTAGTGACTGGAGTCTTAAAAGCTATCAAGTGACCATCTAAGATACAACTGTTGGTTTCCTTCATCTGGAGCAAAGAAGAGGGAAGAAAATCAAAATCATTTGGAAACAATAAGTCCAAGGATATGATAGATCACAGGGACCTCAGCCTTTATGACCTGAGACCAGAACTAGATGGTGCCCAACTACCAGTGCCAACCACTCAGAAAGGGATCAAAATTGGAGATCCTGGATAGAGTAGGAGGGAAAATGTGGACCAAATTCAGAAACACAAAAATGACCATAATTACTGGTCAGATAGTGGCTGGTGGAACCCCAAGACTATGGCCCTGGGTTATCCTTCAGGCCTGGAACTGGACTCATTTCCATGAATTAGCTCTCAATCCAACAGGAGAAAGACCTAGAAGCAGAACACCTACCACAGGGAGATGCACCCACCTATCTGAGGGAGATCTGCCCTCTAAATCGATTGACCATGAGACATCAGAAGGGCAGCATTTGCATGGAGGGAAAGCTGTACAGGCAGGAATGCATAGATAAGGGCACAGTGAAGGGGTAGTCACAGGGAGGAGATGGGAGAAGAGCTTTGCAGTTGGGGATTGTGATCGGGGCTGTGAAACCAAAAGTGCATGAACTGTTGTGTGTAAAACAAATCTACTTTGTAAATTTACACCCACATCACAATAAAAATTTTTTTAAAAAAGGGTGGTCTCCAGAAATTGATGGAAATACCCATTGAAATGTTTCAACAAATGGATGCAACACTGGAAATGTTCATTCGTTTGTGCCAACAATTTTTGAACTACCTAGCCAACCTACTGGAAGAGATCCGTATTTGTGCACGTTCCAAAGAAAGGTGATCCAACAGACTGGAAATTATCAAGCAATATCATTAATGTCACATGTAAGTAAAATTTTACTAAAGACAGTTGAAAAATGGTTGCAGCAGGCCATCTAGATGTAACAATGGGCCTCTCCTCATCCGGAGCAAAGAAGAATGAAGAAAACCAAAGAAGTGTAGTAATATTTAGTCCAAGGGACTGGTAGACCATGTGATCCTGAGCCTATATGACCATGAGACCAGAAGAACTAGATGGTGCCCAGCTACCACTGTCAATCAACCACTTGGTAGGGGATCTATGTAGGAGATCCTAGACAGAGAGGGAGAACAATGTGGAACAAAACTCAAAATCAAAAAAAAGAAAAAAGACCAGGTTTGCTGGTCTGTCTGATAAGCTGAAACCCCTGAGACTGTGGCCACTAGCTGCCCTTCAGGTCTGGAATTGAACCCACTTCTGCGGCTTCCAGCCAAATAAAAGTCAAAAAAGTGAAACATATGAGCTGAACATTTACATTAGGTAGATACACTCCTTGGAGAGATCAGCCATGGGAGAACAGAAGTGCGGTGTATGCACAGGGCGACAGCTCAGGGGCCAGCAGGACATGTGGGGGAAGGGCACAGGGAAGAAATAGGTATGTGGGGGAGTGGGAAGAGAGGTGTTACGTTGTGGGAAATTGCAGTTAGTGTCATGAGATAAAATGTGTATGAACTGCTGTAAGGAAGATGAATTTGCTCTGTGCAAGAAGGGCAAGGAGGCCACATGTTCTTAGCTCCTCTAATCCCACAAGAGGAAGACAGGATTACCAGCAGTAACCCAAGGCCTATTGCTGCAAGGCCAGACATGCTGCCTCCCTCCAGCCCTTTCACCAACTGTTCCTCCCAAAGCACCCACCACCTCTCTCCTGGA